TGACATTGGCCTCATTTGACAGTGAGAACAAGTGGGTATTTTTTTTCTTTTACAAAAATTTCTTCATTTGACCATCGGATGGAGGCCAGTGGACGTTTACATATGTGGTTCCGCTGCGAATCGAATTCGTGGATACTAGCGCTCTTCTTCCTTTTGAACTAAACGATGCACATCTACCGCCAGTCTTTTTCTGTACATTGCATTAGCTCATTCGACTTATAAGAGCTAGAATTCTGGCCTTAGCTGGGCCTTAAATCATATTCCACACTCAATTCCCGCGAGTAAAAATTTTTAAAAAATTTTAAGCATGCAAGCAGGTAACAGCTTGCTACAAAAGGTTCGATCTTAATAAATGATCACACGATGGGTTTCAAATCTTTCTCCACTGATTTCACCCTGAGTGCTGTAAATGATTTTTACGGGCCGACATATAATAGTGTAGAGTAATTCGAGGATGAGGTGAGTCTATTTTGATATGTTTTTCTATTTCTTCTTTTGCGGTAGTGTAGCATTCACTTTAATGAGACCCGCTCCAGGAAATTCATCGTGATATTCGTTAAAGAATTTCGCCACGGAACTCTCACTGAGAGATCACATGCGGATAAAGCGTTAAGCAAGAGCGAAGAGCAACTCTGTCCTTCAGATGCACATAGATTCACGGAATTGACAACAGTTTCTACTGAGTCGTACTGACTCCAATGTGTGCGCGCCCATACAGATTTATGCAAGTGTAGGTTCTTAAATGATTGAAACCCTAGTCTTGTTTCTTTTGCATATTCTACAACAAAATAGATTATGAAGAATACAGGACATTACGGAGCGCGTGCAGCAGAGGTGCTCTGCAACACACACTAGATCCGAAGCTGATTCGATCCCACGCTCGTGCTCACCAAACCTTCCATTCCTCCGGGATTAGCTAATTGGTGCCATACTTGTCTGAGAGGATAAAATGGCTTACTTCATACGTTGGCAAACCATTGCAGGTTATTATATAGGCCAATATGCATTCAAACACCTTTACTGTGCCCTAACGGAATTGAATGCATGATGCACCAGTAATATTGTAGTTGCAGATGTATGGCGTCTTAGTCAAAGAGATTTTAAATCAACTACGAGTAGCTATAAACGATGGTGAGATCTCCTATTGTTGGCCGTTTGTCTATTTCATTGGGTAAAGTCGACAACAACTCAGGTTGTGCTTGCACACTGTTTTTATTTCTCTCTTCAAAAAGATAAATAGGATAAGTAGTTCCGAATTCGTTAATCCGTAAAGGACAGAAAACCCGTTTAGTTCCATCAGTAATGTTGCTCAGGTGACTGAATGCATATTTGGGCTATGAAATGACTCGCTGAGGCTACTGGTGTATCAAGTCAGCGCTTGATCCTCTTGGACAAATCCTGATACCCATTTGTCAATTCTTGTGAAACGGAACGCTGGTCCAGGTGAGTTCAGGATTCGGGGTAGAACAACTGAACTATCCGAAATATGTTGCAGGGCAATTCCAATTGTTGCGTTGCTCTCGTCCCTTCTTTTCTTTAGCAGTATAAAAGTGCAAACTGACCGATTTCTGTGCTCCAACGTAGACATCATCCATTGATTTCGAAACCACATCCCAATCATGATTACTTAGTTCAGGCCTAAGAGTATCTCGAACACTTCAGTTACATGATGTAAAGGTATTATCTGTAGTAAATAGGAATTTTGCGGGCGCGCGGAGTCCACTAGTTAAAGATAGAGAGCTAGCGTTCAATCTACCCATAGGCTCAACCGAACCTCTTTTTTATACCTACTGAGTCAAAAAATCTGTACCAGGCTTGTCTAAAAACAGAACCCTCCAATTCAGAAAAGTTGGTTACTCCTTGTGCTGAAGATGTAGAAATTTCTAGCACAGCTACTTCCGGATTGCAGAAGGAATGAACTCAACCAGCATTTAATGAAATTCGCGAAGAAAACAAAATTGTTAATTGCTAGCTGATCTAACACGCAAATCCAAAGACCTTCTGGATGAAGGATACCAGAGAAGGGACGGAATAAAAGCGCAGAGATCCGTACAATGCATGAAGTCGAGTTAGGGGAAACATAAGTGGTTAACTAGTTAGCCAAGCAAAATTTAAAGGATTTCTGATCCAACTATTTTATTTCAAATGCTGAGCGCGTAAAAGAGATTAAATTTGATGACAACTTGAGGAACACTTCGACTAGGCCATTTCTGTCAGCAACGCTTCCGTTAGGATTGACAAGAAGTTTTCTGAACCACTAAGAGATTCGTCATCTGAGATTATAAAACAGCGTGGATATTTTCTATTCCGGTGTAGATGTGACAGTCTAAACTCGCGAGTTCGCAGTCTAACCCAGTGATCTCAAGTAACAACGGTAGTAACATATAGATCGAAGGACCATCGTAAGTAAAGGAGGTAATACATTGAACAGAGTGGAAAAAGAACACATGTTTAGATATTGAGTGGAGGCGGCTCATATAAATTTATGAGGTATGCAGATCACCTGCATCACCTGCAGTCCCATTGGGCGTCGGGTGACTCGAGCGGTCCCCAGCAAAACTTCCATTCTTCTCTGTCGCGTTCAAGAGTACCCCCCACCCAGTTGGTTCTGCTCGTTCTATGGGTCTGTTTAGCATCACATCACTACCACTCTTCTCAGGTTTTCATGAAGAACTCTCACCATCGGGTCGGTGGTCTTCCTGTAGTACGTTTGATATTGTGAGAAATCCAGTCACAAACGGCTCTTGTCCATCAGTTGTCGTTCATACGCATTACGTGTCCGGCCCACCCTATCTTCGACTGTTTGGTGTACAGAATGGCATCTTTGATTTTCGATCGTTGACGCAGATCGGAGCTTCGGATCCCATCTCTTACTTGTGTGAAACGGGATACTCCTAGCATCGTCCTTTCGACTGGGGGTTCCATAACGCTGAGTGACCTATCGCCCTGCCTACGCAGCGACCAGGTGTCTGACGCATACGTTAGAGCAGGAAGTACCGTTGAGTCCAAAAGGTGGGCACGGAGTCGGAGTTCTTTGTTCTCTTCACTACATCCTCGATGCCCTTGAAAGTCCCCCAAGCCACTTGTTTCCTTCTGCTCAACTCTGGAGCTAGGTCGTTCATTATTTTAATTTTCTGACCTAGATAGACATAACTGAAGCAATCGGAGATATTCGTTCCGTTGAGCGTGAATGGGGCATACGAAACCAATCCGTTCTTCATGAACATCGTTTTTGTTAGATCTAGTCTAAGATCAATTTTTCTACAGGTTTTAACAAAATCGGCAATCATTCACTCCGCTTGGCTAATGTTTGGTGTTATAAGGACGATGTCATCAGTAAAGCGAAAATAGTGTGGCTGCCAACCATCGATTCTCAGTCTCATGTTATCCCATCTGGGGCTTCCATGACTGCTATCTCGTTTGAGTCAAAGGCGTTCTTTAAATCGATGAAAGCGAGACAGAGCGGTCTCTTCTACTCTCGCCATACTTCGGTGAGTCTTGCTATCATGTGGATGTGGTCCATCGTACCGCGCCCTTTTCGAAACCTTGCTTGGTCACATGGCTGTCCTTTGTCTACTTTTCTGTCAGTCCTTTTTAGGATGACTGGAGTGAAACGTTTGTAGACGACAAACAGTAAGCGGATTGGGCGATAGTTGCCGATATCGTGGAGATCACCTTTCTTGAAAAATAGCACGATCTTACTACTCTTCTACTGAGTAGAGGCCCTGCAAACAGGTGACGTGTGAAGAGCCAAACCACTGTGTTTACGAGGGCTGGCAGAATGTTTCCCAGGTGTTCAGATCTTATGCTCTCCGGATCTGGTGCTGCTCAATTTTTCACCGACGAAATAGCATGTCGGATTTGCGAAAGGAGAACCGGTGGTGTAACATATCCATCCTCCTTTATTTCATATGATGAAACGATGACATAACTATTGAAGAGATCTGAGTAGTGGTCGTGAATAATTTTCTCCATTATCTTTCTGGGCGCTGTAATTGTTCCACTTGAGCGTTGGAGTGCAACCATCTTAGTTTTGTAATTGGCGAGGCCTCGGTGAGCTATGCGAATGCTTTTCCCAGTCTCTGCATCTTCGACTATAACTGCTGCTCTTCTCTCTATGTTTTTTTTATCGCCTGACTGCATTGTTTTGCAAGTTCGGACGTGAGTTCGCGGTTGCTTGTGGCCTATTAGCTGGAGTATTTCCGAAAACAGAGTCTTTTGGCGACTTCCGAACTCAGGTTTCACAGAGCTTGAAGATGTTGAATGAGCTGATCGTTCTCATCGATGTTGTCGAAAGCGGCGTCTTCTCAGCAGTCGTGTAATGAATTTATTCAATAGCAGCTTATGGTGGTTTTGGGAATTCGTTTTTGAATTTAGTGGTTTTCTCTCTTTTCTAGAAGAAATGTAATGTTGTACGGATGCATTCATCTGATGCTGTGTGAGATTTTGGGACAACAGCTGCATCGATAAGATAAAACCTTCGATTCACATTGATGTGGTTTATTTCGTTATGGTACTGTCCAGTAGGAGACTCCTACGTCTATCGTTGAGGGTGGAGCTTCTGGAATTGCGAGATAGTTGAAAGGACTTGGTCGTCATGGTAAACTCAGAAAGCCGCTAAGCCTGCTCGTTCCATTCTAATCCGTGAGTGCCAATGTGACGTTCTTCAGACGTTTTTCTTGGTTCAATCTTAGCGTTAAATTCTCCAATGATGGACCTGAAGAATGTACGGTCTTTGTTGTGGAACTTCGCCAAGTCTATATAGAACGCTTCGACATCTTCTTCGTCATAGTTTGACGTCGGCGCGTAAACGATGAAGATTGTCAGAGCCGGTGTTGACCTAGTTCTCTTCAATCATAAACGTCCAATCCGGGTCGTTAGTTGTTCGAATGAATCGATGTTCATGGACAAACTCGTGTTGACAAGAACGCCAACACCTCGGACTCCTCTACTACCGCATGTTCCAAGGAACAGTTCTTCACCGGTGTCAGAAACGGCGTTTAGTATAGTAGTCTCCCTTCACTCGTTCTATTCAGCGCTGCAGTACTGGAGGCTCGTTCGTGGTCAGCAGAATGAGGCTCGTCCATTTTACCATGCTTAGCCTTCTGATGCCCACGTATAGTTTGTTGAGCTCTAAACGTAGGACTGAATATACTCATGGGTAGCTTTCTACTCTCTCTCAAAATGGACACAAAGTTTATTTGTTGGAGGAAACTCCTAACCACCTCCCATATATTTCCGTGTCACTGTATTGCAGGCTTTTGGCGAATTGACTCGTAGAATATAATCCACAAAAATGAGGACACACCCACGCATACTTTTATGGGTACGTCTTCGTAAACGTCCTGTATGGTACGTAGATAAGGTGTGTACATGTGTCAAATTGGCTTTGCAGAAACAAGGAGTTCATCCTATGAATCCTATGCGTCTCAGGGAAGCAAAGGTCGCATTTGGTCCACTACTAACCTGCTATCCGCCGCCTGGGAACGGATCCAGGACACGTACTAGCCTTCTCGAGATCTCTCATATAAGGAAGATCTGTAGGATATTTAGTTAAAAGGAAAGAAACATGAGTACATTGCAGAATACTTGTTAAGTGAATGAATTAAACTGAGTTAATGAGTGTTGAAGTGTTTTGTGGAGAGGGTAAGGTGAGTTCCTGCAGAGATATTTTCACCCTTTGTATTTCAATGACGATTCATCACTGGACAACTAGATCTCTTCGACTCTACATATCTGAAAGTTAAGTGGGCAACGATCGCAGTTTGTTGTAACCTTCACGTTTCGTATTCTCACAATGAATCTCCAAGAATGCCCACATGTACAGTAGCCTCTACCGTTAGACGAGTAAATTCCGTTAGATTCAGGTCTATCTCTATTTTTCAAACAATGCTGAATATTTTTAGTTGTGCCATTGCAGCCATTTTACCCTGTTTGAAAACGTTGAAAGAAGGGGGGAAAGGTGGTGACAAATGCGAAACCCTCTAGCTGTTGTGCAATAATAAGCAGCTTACAGGAGAAAATTCTTGTAATCCGGTTCATCGTCCTTTCTTGTCCACTTCTCTGATAATTTCACCTAAAAGTAAAGACAGCGATCTACTACCTAAAAACTGACACTTAGAAAAATTTCAGGGAGATTTCTGAGACGAAATAGCAGAAATCTATTGGCTTCACTCCAGCTGTTGCTTTGTTGTCAAGTGACACTCGCGTTAGCTTATAAAGAAATAAAAAACACTGATACTGATTGGTTGATAACAGCTCACATTCTTTTCGCAGAGAACCACTCTCGATAATGACATATGTGATAATAAAGAAAATCAATATTAATTTATCGGAAAAAATCGTATCTACTGTAGCCACCTAAGCACTTCTCACTTATGGCTACAAGAACTTCTAGAGCTAGTTATTGTTAGAAGATATTAGGCTTCTACGGCTTCATATGATGACATTAGATTGCACTCAGAACAATATCCTGAAAGTGAAGTTTTTCTCAAAAGCTGGTCCTTCCACCAAAGGCACGTCTACCTCTGTAGCAGAGTTCCTTTATAGATCCTTGGTAAGTACAGTCATTTACAGATGCTCAGCTAAATGGGGTGCAATGAAATGGTTTTCATATACAGTGAATGAATTGGGAATATTTTATACTGTGGAACTCCTGAATTATTCAGTTACAGAACTTGATGGGGACAAGAAATGACTTTGTTGGCATATTGTGAATTCCCCTGCGAACTAGCTTCACCTCGGTTTAACTTTGTTGTTAATAATAGATATTGGTAGTAATAGCACTCGAAGTGTGTTCACCTTAGCTCTTGTTCTTAACTGCCACCCAAAAACCTTGTTACCTGAATGATGGTGATGGTAATGCGCGTTTATCATTGAATATATTGGAACGTCTCCCTCACACAGATTTACTTTGTAAAACGCTTCGGCAATTTTACCCTGCCTATTGGCTGGGGTAACGATGCGCTTCACCTACCTCTTCCTCGTCATGAGAGGTAATCGAGAGCGCAGAGCCAGTCCTATTCTCGAGCTCCAGTCGAGGACCGAAGCGAATCTGACCGAGCATCGACCGTACCGTCACTTAACTGAATGAGCAATTCACCATTAGCCAACACTTATATACACAATGTGCTCTTATCTCTTGGTGCAAAAATATAAACATTTCAATTCCTGCAAATAAATAGTGTGTGGTTTGAGCGGTTGGCATATACTATTCTTCAAACAATCCAACAAAAACCTTCTTAAGATCTCTTACCTCATTTTTATGACTCTTGGACTCCGACGAATTTCAGGCTGGGCATATCAAGGTAGATGCAGTTCGGCATAAAAGTAGCTAAGCATTCTGATGTGAAGAATATCAACTTCTACTACACCTCAAAACTTCTCCATTACGGATTTTGGCGGATTCAACAGCATACTGACAAGAAACGCTCGGTTAACGCTCAGCGTTAATGATTTGCAGTAGCCTACGATGTACCGAGCTAGTGCTACTTTCATCTCAGACAAGTCTGGGAGCAATTCACTGACCCCGGAGGAAGGCAGAGTGGGTTATGAGTATGCGGATTGATTCCACGTGTGTTGCAGAGCGCCTCCGACCACTGCGCCGCCCGCTCCCATACTGACAAGAAGAACGGAATAAAGGGATAAGATATCTTTGCTATGACTCACTAAGTGACTCTGAACTATTCTTTAACAACTATTTAAGTGAGAGAAGATTCTCTTTCTCCCTTGTACATAAGATTATTCCTTCATTAGCAGTTTTCCAAAGAATATGTTATCTATTTCTTATGGAACTGACAGCAAATAGGTGTTCCCACCTCTTTGTTCTTCATTCGTTTCATTCTGCAAATGACAGCGATTTCGGGTTAATACATTTTGGCCTAGTGGTTTCTAAACTGTGGCACTGTACGACATGTAATGTTGACATCATGGCTGAGATGTCCATTGAACGCAAGGCCGTTCAGCATGACCGTTCCATGTGGACATCTTCAGCACAAACACGCTTTTTACGGTGGTGTCCGACGAATTGAATGGCTTTGAGCAAAATTTATGAGCCAGCCATGGGCATTTATAGACGAGCAGTCGCAACCATCAGATTTCACAGCGATGAGGACGATTTTGGTGCTGCTTGCACTCGTTTGCATTATCAGGTATTCTAGACGTTGATTTTTCTCTTTTTCTTCCAGTGGTTTTTCATCACCTCATGCTTAGGCTCAAACAGCATCATGTAAGTCTAAAAGCATTTCGAATATTTTAGAACAAACCACATTCAATTATACAACTCAGGGCATCTCAAATACTCGGAGACCTGCTTTTTGAAAAGACTACCAGAATGCATTCGGTTCGATTTAGTTTTTGATAAGTAGTAGACCGCTGATAAATCCCGTTTCTATCAAGAGCTTGACGAAAGGATCGTAGATAAGCATTTACCTAGAACACACACTTATTAGCCAAACCGAAGCTCCACCCAATGGGGTTGAACGAGCCCAACAGTGCTGGAAATACCTTAAAAAACCGAGTTCTATTAGACTACAGCATAAGTAATCAGTAGTTTTCAAGAGCACTAAGGAAATATGAGGTTGGCATAAAAATACTTGTTCGGCTAACGCTTCGGTCTTAGTGTGGCTCTCTAAGAAGAAGTCCGGTCACCAATTATCGGCGATAGTGTTGAATACAGTGATGCCATGAGTATTTCACAAAGCGCATCATATATTGTGGAAATGTCATTGCACTGAGATGCTTTACACTCTTCTTATTAACGGCAAGGCGTCTTAGAATTTCAAGCATTCAAGCGCAGAGCGAGAATAAGAGGTAGCTTTTAGTATGACGTTGAATGCTTCCAGTACTAAGCGTGACGGCAACCAGAAATTCAAAGCGTGTTGTGCCAGACAGAAAACGGCTGACAAGGAATGCAAGAAGCGATTCTGCAGTTTCAGCTCCATTAATCAAAACAATGTTAGTTTTCTTATCAGACTTCATCGAAAGCATGATTTTTAAGTGGTGAGGCTTCATTCTACTATCAGTACCTTTTCAGGTGTTAGTGTTTCTCAATACTTGTTCTCCTCGTGGAACTACAGCACGGCAGATGTGGGACTGCGCCTCGTCCAGACACGACCACACCGAATGTTGTAAGGAGAAGTGCGTTCGTTCGTTGAGTTCTTGTTTGAGCTGAGAATCAACTTCTCTTTTCTAAACAAACAAAATTATTAAAAATAGATATCACATGCAAGAACAAATTCCTTATGATGTCAGTCTCGCGGTAATTCAAGTCCTTTTGAATAAAAATCTTGGTAACCTGGTCAAGAACACAATGGCATTCTCAATTCCAGAAACGTGCTTCCGCTCTGCATGCGATACTGCGACAGTTCGCGCGCCGTGCCAACTGAGTACCTGAACCACCTGATCTGCTTGCAGAACTTCAACTCTATCAGGGACTGTTTTAAGAACCATCTTGAGAGGAACCCTAATATCTTCGGCGATGACTGACACGAATTTCAATAAAGAACAGCAGGAATTATTAGAAAATGAATTATAAATATGGTCCTTACATTTGTGCATTGATTACTATCTACACTGTATTATTCTATTTTTCGTCTCATTTAGTTTAATTTTTAACAAAGGTCAAATATGACATGGCACACTATAAAAAAAGGGATGAAGCTCTAGGCGTTGATCAAACTCTGAGAAATGCGCCATGCATTCGACTTCATTAAGCATCGTTGAAGGAGACTGAATGCATATTTGGCCTTTACAGTGACTCGCAGTGGACTATCGAGTATCTATTAGTACTGCTATCCTCCCAGACAAGTTTGGTACCGATTTGCTAACCCTAGAGGGATGGAAGACTTGCTGGGCGATGGGCGTGGGGATCGAATCCACGTGTCCGTTGCAGGACGCCTCTGACCACTGCGCCACACGCGCTGTTATGGCACACTATACTGTAATTAAATTATCACAGATGATTATAATGGTCGACATAACTGTATTCGAAATATCATCTCGCATCGGGTCCTTCAGTACCAAATGGATAAGTGAAAAACGATTAGATTTTTGATCGAAAGAGTCATTGATCCTTCTGTTGAGAGTGGGCGTAGTGCAGTAGTGCAACTGTCCTGCAATACACACTTTATCGGCACTGACGCTGAAGGAGTTTTGTAAATATCTCAGCATCATCTTATTTCACATGGCACCCTGCCGTTAAAAATTATAGTAGGAAGTAAATAAAAAGGTTAAATTGTGATTTTGACTTCAGCCTCAGTTTAACTAGGTTCGCTCCCGATTTGGGCTCCTTAGATCAGTCCCGTTGACGGGTGATTGCTGATGGCGCCGATTAATAGAACTAGCTGAGAGGCAGGCGAAACGAGAGGCCCGCATGGTGTGGTGGTGGACACGTCACTCTCCGGTTAAAGGGCAATAGCACGTTCGTTCCCCACCGCAGACGCCTGCTGTCCGGAGTTTTGCAAACCATTTTTAGTTCAAGCCAAGTACATTGCAGTCGAGCGATAACTCCAAAGAAAATCTAACACATTCGTCAGACTTCATCGTCTATAGAATGCGTCAATGAAGATTTAACATATTAATAAACGCTACATTTATCAAGAAACTACTCACCATGCAACATGCTCACCGTGCTGTTACAAGTGGGACTGCCCGCTTGTTGTTCACGTGGGAAGACCACTGGGACCCATCCAGATCAACAAATCAGTTTGAAATAAAGCATCAGGTCACGTGTGATAGTGAGCCATTCGTCTTTGCGGTTCATCTTTGGATTTTTGGTATTTGTCCAAAACGCCTCAAGAGTCTTGCGCGTTGACGTTTTTGATTCTTGCGCTAGGATTCGGGGAGTCACTTCACAATCATCACCATTTTGCTTTTGTACCCTATGTGTACCTAGAGAAGTACTTTGTCGAATTTAATATAACTTTGTTAATATAACGTCTATTTTGCTGGTACATCTTGTAATATGTATTCTTTCTTGATAAGCTTACACGAGGTTGATAAATATATTTATTTTCGGCTAACGTTTCGACGTCTTCGTCTTCCTCAGAGCCGGTGATCCGAGTCGATGGTCCATGCTTGTTGTCGACGAAGACGTCGAAACGTTAGCNTATCAACCTCGTGTAAGCTTATCAAGAAAGAATACATATTGATTAATCACACCGAGGTTTAGGGAAGGTCGGTTTCGAAACATCTTGTAATAGTTCCCAGGATCGACTTTCTTTTAACCTCGGCATTGGAATATGAATGTGTCGTTTTCTTGTTCAGCAATCGCGAGGTTTTTAAACAGCATACGTTTACTTCCATAGAAAAACACAATACAATGCAACGCTAGCTGACGTTTCGGCAGTATCGCCTTCTTCAGAGCCTGGAAGGGTATACTGATACACAATCTACTAGGCCAAACGCTTCAATAACACTTACAAAAAGACAAAAGATTCTTTGGTAATTACATGATCAACAACTTCTCGAAAAAACCCACCGCTTTTTCGTGACTTCCAATGAGGAAGTTTAGAACAGCTGATTATAGTCGCATGTGGTTGACGACTGCACCATCCCACATCAAAAATCGATGCGAACGTACGGGATCAGGTCGCGCATGACCTCCGGGCATTCGTCCCTGCTATTCATTGTAGGGTTTTTGGCATTGAACCAAAAAGCCTCTAGGAGTTTTCGCGCTGGTGTTTTGGACTCCTGTGCAAGGATATTGACTTGGTGCAGTCGTCAACCACATGCGACTACAATCAGCTGTTCTAAACTTCCTCATTGGAAGTCACGGAAAAGCGGTGGGTTTTTCGAGAAGTTGTTGATCGTGTAATTACCAAAGAGTCTTTCGTCTTTTTCTAAGTGTTATGGAAGCGTTTGGCCTAGTAGATTGTGTATCAGTATACCCTTCCAGGCTCTGAAGAAGGCGATACTGCCGAAACGTCAGCTAGCGTTGTATTGTATTGTGTTTTTATAAAAGTAAATGTATGCTGTTTAAAAACCTCGCGATTGCTGAACAAGAAAACGACACATTCATAACGTCTATTCCACAGTGGATAACGTATTGGCGATTTACGCTTCATAACAATATTAAGCCCATTCGGCCAAACACCTCGATAATCACAGCGGGAAAAACGGAAGCCCAAATTTCGATCATATGTTTAAAGTTTTTTGCTTCCAGGATTATCGGATTAAACAAATGTCGGAATCTGAGCATAAGTAGGCGGATCATGTGATGCAAAGAGATGACCACTGGTGGTCGAGAAGAATATTGGGTGGACTTCGAAATTCAAGAGTTCCCTGCATTAACCACCATGAAGATGTTTACGGCTTCTATGAAGGAAATATACTCGCACGTCAACATGACACCTGTACTAGCCACGGAATGAACTCGCGAGCAAATCGCACACAAGAGAGAGATAATCTTTCAAGGCGGTAGTCGCCAAGGAGAAATTAAATGGAAATTGTGTTATAGCCCGAACGATTAGAGACCGGTAATCCCAATATCAATGTAGGTACGATCTAATCATGTTCGTTCGTTTTATTATTATTTAATATTATTTACATGATGCGTCATCACATCTACTCTGAGGACCACAGCACTCCTCGCATTCGATTCTTTTTCGTCCCATTCACTGTACACAATGGTCTTCAAATATTTTTCGTTTTGTTTCGCCTGTTTTCTGGGGATTTCCTCTTTTTATGAGTGTCGCAGAATGCTGGTCGAGTCGATTCTTTTTACAGGGTTAGAGCTGTGCTAAAGCGATCCCACATTTCTTTTACCAATTGTCATCAACCCCGCTGACGGGTGATTGCTGTGGCAAAAAGATCGATAGAAATAGCTGAGAGACGTGCGAAACAAAGGACCCGCATGGTGTGGTGGTGAACGCGTTACTCCCCGGAAAGGACAATAGCGCGTTCGTTCCCCACCATAGACACCTGCGGTCCAGAGTTTTGCAAATATCTCAGCAACGTTGTGGTTGTCATCAAGCTGTTTGCCACAGTGCAACCAATCCGTCTTTCGAAATGGAGTGTGAGCCACACCGTCTCATAGTTCGCGTAGACTGCAGCTCCGCCATCGGATAAATCTGCCTCACGATCCGGCTGTGCTTTTCATGTGACCAACTATTGTTGGGCCATTGCCAAAACCGCTTTCCAATGTCTATAAGTGTAAATTGAACGAGGATCGAACGTTAATCGGATTTGACGGCCGATTGTCAACGAACACCAATCCCAGGTTTGGTGCAAAGGTACATTTCGATTTAAAAAAGAGACGGATTATTTGCTTTTCGGTTTCATGTTTCCTATAGAACTATCTTTTCCTACGACAACAGACAATTCCGTTAAGAAACATTTTTTACTCAATCATACTAGTAAAATTCTTTGACAACAAGGCGTGATGGGGCAATATCGCAAACTGAACGATGTAACGTCTCACACCTGCCGTCTCAATAATTTCTTAAAACTGAGCAGCTAAGGCTTTCATCCATTGACCTCACACCTACTCAACTGAGACACCACTATTTCGATGACAGCTACTTCTATAGCGAGTTTACGTACGGAAGAGTTTCGGTAGTGGAAATGTCTCATCTTCAAATCAGAACTTCCTCTATGTTTTGAAAATTGAATAGCTTAGTTAACGAAGATCCAGCCTGTGAACAGTTTGGATTCTTCTGAGCTCATTAACTGACCATTTCCATTCGGAATCTTTTCAGTTTAAGTGATTAATGCCGAAACTGATCGAAAGTCGGCCATCCAAGTTTAGATTTATTTTTCTTCCATTGATAAGCCAACATGACAGCGACACAGAATTTAATTTACCTGAGAAAAGTAGACGAATGGAGGTTCACAGCAGCTTCATGGTTGCTTATCAATGAAAGAAAAGACGTCGACTATCCAGATCGAGGTTAAATATGAACCGATTTACAAACAAGTTTAGATTCTCATAACAGACGTACATTTGATTAGATGGTTTCTATAAATGGACCTTTTTACTGTTCTTCTTTCTACAGACAATTTTTACCACCGGTCAATATAACTGGCGCGTCTTTTTGTATTTGATTATTCTGAATGTTTTGAAATAATCATATTCTATCCAAAGGACAAAGCTCTCGGCGTTAATCAACACCTGAGGAGTGCGCCATGCATTAAACTTCATTAAGCATCGCTGGAGGTGATTAAACACATATCGGGCCTTTACAATAACTCTCGGTGGTTTAGCGATAAATCGAACAGGTGCTGCTATACTCTGAGACGAGTCTGGTACCAATTTGCGACCCTGAAGAGATGGATGGCTTCGTGGGCCATGGGCGCTGAAATCGATCCCAGGTGTATTGCAGGGACCTCCGAGCGCTGCGCTACGCGCACCCACGCATTCCACTAGGTCATTGCAACTTTTTGGATTTTTAACCGGTAGAAAATCCCTCGGGTATATGTTGCATTTTATGAGTACTTAATCATTGATGTGATTGAGCAGATAGGCCCAAAAAATTAGGAATTTGCAAAAATATTTTCTACAGCTGCTTACAAGGGGAATGTTTTCCCTTTTATTTTGTGGTCATGCATTATTTGAAAGCTGTGCATAGTAAATTCCTCAAAATTGATAGGTATGGAAATCTGGTTTGCTGGGTCCTCGATGAGGAACCGAACGCACTTACTAAATTTGGATAGATACACTCGATGTTCATCGTGGAAGTAAATGCAGCAGTGATTCCATTCTTCAACTCATTAAAGGAGAAGCTACGAAATTTGTGCTAATCCATCCTAAAGAGAACACTTACTGTTTAAAATGACGGTATCGAATATACCAGCAGCTGTAAGTTAACACAGAAGTGCCAGACAATGACCGCTCAGAAAATGTGCTCAATTCTCATACCTGTCAACCTAAGCATGTCAGTGATAGGATTTTAACTAATTATATAAACCTAAGGAATAATTTTCAAGCCAACCGTCATTTGACGTCAGTACGAATAATTAATAGCTTCTTGGATTGTTGAGCTATCACGAGGTTAATAAAGAGATTTATTCGGCTAACGTTTTGTTGTCTTCATCAGAGCCGATGGTCCGTATAGATCGTTCACAGTTGTTCGTCTTCATCGTCGTACCGAGTCGGATCTTCTTCAGGGGAACACCGCTCTGAGGAAGAGTTCACTAGCTGACGTAATACCTTCTGCTGCTGGATGGACTCTTCTTCGAAAAACAAATTATTATAAATGGACTGTCATCATCAATAACTACCGTCCTGTATAAAAGAGCGCTGTCGGGTGAGTATGCCTCAATCGAGAGATGTTCCACTGAAGAGGGCCCGTCTCAGTACAACAACTAAGCCGCCCCATCGAGAAGACGAACAATTGTGGACCATCGACTCGGATCATCGGCTCTGATGAAGATGAAGATGTAGAAACGCTAGCCGAATAAATCTTTTTAACAATCTAATGTTGGCTCAACAATCCAGGAGAATAAATGGATCTAATAACGAAATTTCTAACCAAAGTCAAATAGTTCGCAATGTTTTCAAAACATACTCATAATTTAACTTGTGCGATATATATTATTTCTCCATAAGGTTGTTTTAATAACTCGCCATAAAAGGTGGCTCCGCTTAGCACTTTTGGGTGCTCTCCTTTAATTCTTGGACTCTTCCATCACTCGTCCGTAGACTTCACCATCCTTCGCTAGGTCTTTTGAGCATCATTCCACAACATTCTCCTATTGAGTGGTCTTCTCACAGCTTGCCATTGGTGGTTGGTACATCAGTTAACACTAAAAAACTCATAATATCATTTGTATTAAGGTGTGCCTCATTTGGCATCTTTTTCCGTGCTTATGCTGCAGTAGTTCATCAGCGCCAAGATTCGTGTGTTCAGAAGATGTGGCGTGACGAAGCCGTACGCTGTGGATGTCGGAGGCGGCGAACCGGACGCTGACCACAGCCACGACAGCCTATAAAGGCCGGCCACGGCTCGAATCGACAGCTACCGTATCACCATGATCGTCGCCACCTACCTTCAAGTAACTGTCACTTCTACACTGTTGATACATGGAGCCACTGCGGTTTGTCTTCGTTTAGAAATATTTGCGTTAACCTCAGTCAACAAAGTAAATAATACAACTTCTTAAGCAATTTTTCTAACAACAAAAGCAGAAGTTGGGAAAATCCGCTTATATTGAAGGACGCTTTCGATTTCCTTATGAGTATTCCTTCAAAGTCTGATTTGTATAGGGATTTACTACAGTTTGTTGGTACTATTGGGTAGTGGTACTCAGCATACATTTGAGGTTAGTAGAACATAAACAACATTTATTATACAGAATCGTTATCATGAAAATAATTGTTTATCAGGAAAGAACTCAACATTTCAATGTTTGTCATCTATTGTCAGTGAATCAATCAATTGCTTGTTTATAGCAATTTAACTTACCATTTCCCATTGTATCTATGACAGTTATGTTCATGGATCTTCATGTCAATTTACCTGAACTGTTTCAGTGCTTTGCGTCCGGAGTATGCGGTGGATTGGGAATGGGCCTTGGTCTAGGAGGGCCGTGTATGAGTCCAATACCTCCGGTGCCACCACCATGCGCCGGTGGAGTCGGTTCGTTACATTCCTACTTCACTTCCGTCTTTTTTTCATCAACTCCCTCTTTTCTCGAATTCTGAATTCGCAGCGAACTATACCTTAGGACGGTTTGTTGTATGTATCAATGTATTTGGATAAAAGAAGATTCATCTAATCAAATGACGAAACATTGTCCCGTCTATTTGTTTTCGCTATATCTCTACAAGTATGTGCAGGAAAAAACGATACTAATCATACGTTATTATTGAGAAAATCTCGATCATTTACTGAAACACGCTTAAATTAACCCGTAGACAAGAAAGTGGTTACTTTTTATATTTCGAATAGGTTTCGGTCCTCGCCATCTGTTGATAGAGTTCATGCTGCGGCGTAAACGTTAGCAACGGCGATACGGTGTCGGCATGTTCAGTGAGATTTCTTCTGGATCTTTTGATTGCTCAACAGCACAAGTTTTGTAATTCGCTTTCTTGTAAAGCGCTTAGTAGAGAGATGCACACCATATCAAAACCTTTCCTAGAACACGGTATGCGTTTCTGTGTTCAATTTCGTCTCATTATTTTTGGAAATTTCGCTTTCGAACAATGTGAGAGAAAAGGAAGGTGTTGGATTTCTGTTAGTCTAGCAGCAGATGTGTTTTACTGTAGAAATAACAATAACTGCTATTCATGGAACAGTTATATGATTCCAGGATGTGGTGCCGGCTACACATGTGGCGCGTACGGATGCTATCGCACACGAGCACGAGTCCATGGTGCTGGTACTGTGAGCGAAGGACCAGTACTAACGGGTGGCGATCGATTCTCAAGGATTCACCAACAGGAGGCATCAAAAGTGAGTTCTGAAAAGAAAAAAGAAGCTGTTTTGAATAAATGAAAATGTTATGAGTGTTAACATGACGAAGATGACCTAATTAAAAGGAAATATGTAGCACCACTGAACACATTTCGAAGCATGTTCGTAGCTGTTTTGATACGCTTTTTAAGTACCTAACAAGTAAATCTGGCTAGGATTTGAAGAGAACAAATTGTGAAGGCGATATTAAAGCTTTTGCTTCACCATTTAGTCGTAGGACCTTGATAATTCCATACGATTTTCGTCTTATTATAAAACATCTTCAGTGCAGAAAGAAGAGCTGGAAGGGGTCGACTATATTGCAGCGAGTTGAAGTGGTTGCATTGAAATCCATATTCATGACGAATAAGCCGTTAGTGTACTTTTAGAAAAGAAACTGTTTACACTTGCTTTTTCTTTTCTTTCTGCTGTTCAGAATTCTAGAAATGTAGTGTTGAGTTAACGAAGACAGGTATCGAAACTACACTGGAGTGGTGCCAAGGTTTACACCGAGTAGTTAAATTTAATAAATGTAGGTAAACTTTTCCTACTGCACATTAACTGTTCCTGGCCATTCTCAAGTAACAATTGGAAAATCTCAGGTCGTACATATCGTACAACGGCTGTTCGTCCTCAAAAACTCTAAAGCGATATTTCCTGGAGTTCTGAAGCATCGGCTCATCTTTTTTTCCATTATTGGAATTTGAAATGAAGCTCTTATACAACATTCTGCCTGTTCCATTCATGTATACCCGTGCAACATTGACGAAACTTGTTCCCATAGTGTCCACAGTGGATAAACCATGAATATCATTAGTCGGCTAGGCCACTAAGAGCATCCGGATGGGCAGCGAGCCGCATCGCGCATTGTTTGTGTATGGTTCCGATTTCGAAAACGGTCATTGCTTGACCAAAGATGGATGAAAGGCAGAGCCGGTTCACCCACTGGCATGAGCCGGCCGGATTACATTGAGAGCTTTAGCCTAGACTAGTTCGCTACAACGGATTAACCAGCTACAGCGGAGTGCGGGAATGGCGATATACTGATAGAAAGGCGTCGGCTGGCCACACAAAGGATAAAGGATAAGGCTCCGGGCTTGATCAATCCCTGAGGAATTGCGTCATGCATTCGACTTCATCATGCATCACTAGAGGTGACTGAATGCATATCTAGTCTTTACAATGACTCGCGGTGGCCTATCGATGTATTGAGTCAGTGACGCCATCCTCCCGGACGAGCCTGGTACCAATTTACCGACCACAAAGGGATAGAAGGCTTGGTGACTCTTGGGTTCAGAGATCGATCTCATACGTAATCCAGAGTACCTCTGACCACCGCGCTACAAGGTTCCTGTTGTTGCCCACATACCAGAAGAAAATCAGGAAGGCAGCCACTCCAAATGATCAATGCATAGCAAAAGACGTACATGGCGATTTCCCCTCTAGATCCACTTGAAAGCAACACCTTGACAAATGCGAAAAATGATAGCAGACGATGACTGCCCGATGATGTGTCCATACAACTGAGCAAAGTAATTTAAATGACGATTTGAATCGATGTCGAACTTATTTGTTGTTACATATGCACAAGTGGTCCTTAGGCGATCCACAAATTAGAATTAGGTCGAATTCCTAATCAAATATGCTTCCTAATGCTTTAAGGATGCCTTTCTCAAAATTTATTTGTAGGACCCCAACGTTCTTTTCATGCAATGTTGTCAGCAACGTGGCTTACCGGATGCTTGCCTCCGTCACTGTACTTACAACACATTTACGAAGGAATCCGTAAGGAAATCTTCAATAATTACTTAAAAAACGAACTGTGGACTTTCGATATATCGTATTTGATTCTATCCAACATTATCGTGCTCTCACCACATTTCAGTTGACTCGGATGTATTTCAAGCGTGATGCTTGTCCAGTGCAAGCTTCGGCTGAAATCCAATTCTGCGCTGCTCAGGGCCGAGATCATCGCGATTGCTGCCGTAGAAACGGGGTTACTACAACGCTTGCAGGTCCGAAGGTAATGCACCCAACGAACGAGTTCATAAACCATCACATTTCAAGTAGTTGCTAAATGAGGGTTGAGAACATAGATTTTATCTTAGGGCATTTCACAGAATAATCTCTGAAAAGGATAGCAATATGTAGTGTTCCTAACAAGAAGCCATGATTCCCAGGAAATCTGTTTTATTTTTTGTTCTTTACTACAATTCGTTCTATTATGTGGCACAAAATAGCCAACTACGTCATAAGGAAACGAACCTACTAAGGTCTATCTTCTTCTGCAAACATTTAACCAAAATAGAAACAGATAAACATCTTCTAAATACAATCCGTTTAGTGTCTGACATTTTGTGATCAGAGACCCGGAAATGTTACGATGCTCGACATGTCGTATATCCCATGCTATGATCGCTTCGAGAATATGAAGGCTTGCTTTTGGCATGATACAGTATATCGACTTAAGTAACAAATTAAGCTTTGCCGTTCTGTTTGATTATTAAACAGTACCAGCCCTCACTCAACCTGGTCTCAGCTTTTTACCCTGTTTCATTATACATTGTCTGTATAATTCTTGTAAACCTTTGAATACATGCCTGTAGTTATCATTTACAATCAGTGTGTGTTTTAAAGGATACAAAACACATTATTAAAAATAGAACATTGACATCCTAGAGGTAGAATCCCATCTAATCGCAATTCATTACCACTCAAAAATTAAACCCTATGAGAATAAAATAACAGGTACTTAATTCATTACTGGGTCCTTATTTCAACCTAATTAAACTCTAAAGCTCCCGCCATTGACTAATCCATAAGGGATGGGCCATGCATTTGTTTTCATTGAGCATCGTTAGAGGTGACTGAATGCGTACCTGGCCTATACAATGATTTGCGGTGGTCTACCGATCCATCGAGTTAGTGCCGCAATCCACCCATACAGGTCAGGTATCAACCATGCTTCTATCCTACAAGTCTAGTGCCAATTTACCGACCCCGGGGGGATGGAAAGCTTGGTGAGCCATGGGCACGGGAGTCTTTTCCACGTGTGTGTTGCAGGGCGCCTCGTACCACTGCGTCACACGCTCCCCTTTCTTGACAACACCCAACATTTTTTTAATACACAGAGTGCTTTAGTGATTTTGAACATAACATAGTTTTAGAAGATGCTCTGCTCAATCATTCTATTGGTACGAGTGATATGTATGCTGCTATTAAGTGTGTCTTACTATGGTCCAACATGCAATTACACTGCTGTCGGAATTTGGAAGGGTTTTGCAGCTTATGTTGAGCATTTTCAGCATTTCCCATATTCGCACATTCCATATAATTATTACAATGCTGAGATATTTGCAAAACTCCGGACCGCAGGTGTCTGCTGTGGAGAACGAACGAGCTATTGTCCTTTCCGGGGAGTAACGCGTTCACCACCACGCCACTGCAAATATCTCAGCATTATAGAAGTTACATTTCGCAACAAACCCTGCCGTTAAAAGGAATAGGCAGTAAATAAAAAGGTTAAGACTGTTCACTTAGTTTGTTACAAAACTTTTATTCGGCTATCACTTTCGAGTGGAACTCTACTCCATTGGATTCGATTCAATCCCATTACGACGATAAACACCGTATAATGAATGGCTGTGAACAATCAACCCGAACCACTACCCCTGCGAAAAAGACGAAACCACTACAATGTTAGTAGCCCGCGGTCAAGTAAAAACTACTTTACTACGCTTTGAATTGATATCAATCCATTCCATACGATCTGTTCCCTCATGCTGTTGTAAAATTTGTCGTCCACTCACATAAGGCTATAAATGTTAACACTCCTGCGATCACGCTAAGTTTTCAGCTTTTGTAAACTTGCCGGCTTTTTTCTAATTAACAAAAATTTTTCGAGGAGACAAGGACTTCGTGAGTTGCGAACATGAATGGATTGTAGAAAAGTCTTCACCCTATCATTCTATGGGCATGAATGATGTATATGGTGCTATCTACATGTTACTATGTTCGATCATACAAACATTAATACCAGCACTTGGAAACATTTTGTCCTTTATAGCATCATCTATACCCGCCCACTATTCGAAGAACATCATTCATTATAACAGTCAGAATTGAAATAGTAGTCCATCAGCGTCCAAATTTCTGGTCAGCGAACTAGTTCAGAAAACGGTTTTTCAAACGTTTCTAGAAACAAAATGGAGTTCTCAAAGAACGCTCAACATGACATCTGTGTTCTATAAGCTATCAACTGGAAACGAAAAGTGTTATAAAATAGTCTTATATCTTCATGTAAACAACCGGAACGAAATTGATAACTACAAGTGTCTTAGAGGCACGTGTAGCGCAGCGGTCGAAGGCGCACTGCAATACACGGGATCGATCTCCATATGCCAGGCTCATCAAACCTTCTATCTCTCCGGGGTCTACAAATTAGTACGAAACTTGTCTGGGAGATACATCGGTAGGTCACTGCATAAAGGCCAGATATGTACTTCAACGATGTCTAACGAAGTCAAATACATGGCGCATCACTCAGGGATTGATCACCACCTAGAGTTTTATCCTTTTTTATAGGTGTCTTACCTGCCACTCCCGCAAAACCATTATAGGTGTCACTCGATGGAAGTGTTGTAAACCATCTATAACAGGTTAACTAAATGCATGGCAAGGAAGGAGCACAATGGAACGACTTACGATAGTTGACTTTTCACTAAAAATCCTAAAAAAACATCTGATCCATTTAGATCATTATGAGAAATCCCAACAAACAGAATACAATTTGAGCACAATGCAATAACACCAATAATAATAAGTCCAGAAAATGTATCACATAACAAATACTTGCGCAACATCATCATGATCGTACGCTCGTTTCGAAAATGAGTCGACTATTCGAAGCCCTGAGATTGACTGAAATGAAGCGACCTCACATAAAGCTTAAAACTTCGAGTAAGAAAAACAACATAAAATTTTTGTAAATCTGGAAAATCAAAAGCGGACACTAGACCTGAAATCCTATTGAAACCGGCAAAATTTCCACGCTGAATGAAACGCTGCCGTTTGGTGGTACTTGACCCAAAGACACTCCACTAACGGAACAGAACACTAAAGATTGTGAGTTGTTCTGTAGCTCCAGCCGAAGATCAAGAGAACGTTCACTGCAGTACAGATATATTCGATATTGTAACATAAATCCAGTACCCTTTGTACGAAAAAAAAAGAATACATTTGCATAAACCAACTCATTTATAGGCGAAAATACACTATAAGAATGAGATGCTACTTTACTTCTGAAGTGGATCCACGGCAGTTCCAAAATTACTTGTTAAAGACAATGGTTCGATGGTTTCAGCATCGGCATCTTAGACATGAGGGGCTGTAGCGCTATGGCTAGAACTGTTGTTCGATGAACATGCTCGCTGATTTGACCCCACGCCGAAGTCTAACCAACCAACCTACCTTCCCCATCCTTACGAGGTTTTCAAGTTGCTATTTGCGTTGACGAATAAAAAACACTGGAATGACACATCGGCAGCGTCCCAGAAAGAAATGTATGAGCCAAATGTTAATTGAACCACCTCTGCCATGATTATCATAAAACAACCGTCACTTAATTTTGCTTGGATGGAGCGTTTGACGCCTAGTTCCATGTTGGTTATAAACTTAGTACAAGTTGCACACCATTCAAACAGCGCCATCGACACACTAAGAATGATGCTGGTTTTCCTACCACAAAAGGTAATTCGGCGATAACTGGGAGATTTTAGGAGTTAGAACTGAACAGACTGGTATAAAAACCTTCGACTTATCGCTCTCTGGATATGTATTTTAATAATAATTATATCTTATAAATTCGTTTAACGACTTCCGGACAAGAATTGGTTTTTATAGTTTTGAATCATGTCAGCAAATGAATAACTGAACATAAATCAACTTTTCATTCAAAGTAATGAGAAAGAAAGTGGATATGCGGAGGAGAACGTCTAACAGTCGTTTGAGCAAGTGAAATAGAGTACGGTGATACCGGTGATGCTGAATCTTCAATGATAATAAGGCCTCGATTTCAACAACTTTCTGAATCGGCGAAAACAATTGATATACACTATTTATGGTCGGCAGAAGTGACTGTGATCGAGATGAACAAATGTACACCACAGTAGAGGAGTATTCTGTGGAAAGCGACGAGGGTTAGATGAAGAGATTCATAGGTCTGTCTTAATATGACAATTTTTAATTTTTAAAACGGTACAGTTAGAAAATATTTGAGCTTCAGTCCTATTCTTGCATGCAGTCCTATTATAACTTGTATTTATAAGAAGAAATAAATTTTGAAGTCTACTAACTAGCCTCCATTACGCAAACAACAAGAAAACGCAATAGATGACCGACAAGAGAGATTGTTCAATATCTGCTTACAGGGAAAACCGCTTTATTCCAGTATAACGCACATAAGAGATCTCAAATAATTTAAACTGTGCTCGAAAAGTAGTTACACTTATAGAACTATGGTTTGTACCTTTAGTGTAACCAGGATAACCAGAAATATCGCTCACTCTGTAAAGACGAGCCTCTAATGTGATTTGCCCAAAGGAGGAAGGCATCTCTATACTGGCCACTGTTATGCAATCTTCCCTTGGCTTCGAACTCAGTGCAAAGAAAGACCTATTTTGCTGGCACTGGTAGGACCAACATTAGGAAAAGTGTTGATAAAACCGGTTTTATTCGCATTGGTAGGAACAACATCAGAAGGTCGTCAATGCTGAAGAGACGACGATGAACAGCACAAGAAAATTCGGGCACTTTACTTGCGATGAAGTAGAATGGTAAATGGACTATCCATTAGGTATGCTTTCATCCTTTCAGATAAGTCAAGAACAACTTCACCGAACATCCAACCAAGAAAGGTGAGTTCGCTGCTCAAGATTGAACAAACGGATACCCATTACTCTGGGTACACTGCGCAAGTACGCTACACGCCCCCTAGCTCTTAACAGTGATCAAAACGGTAAAAATATTTTCACATTAAAACGCCTAATGCTCAAATTTGGGTGGTGGCCGCGTGCGAGGACGCATCACTTAATGTTGTTCACGGACTTCCAGACCACCATTCACTAACAGCACAAAATTAAGAGTGCTAGTTTTTCGGAAAACACCACAAATTTTCGGTAGCTTGAGGATCTCAGATGGGAACATAACAGAGTTATAGAGGAGAAATTACATTACCATATGTATGCTACTCCTAACTGTATGTTACTATGGTCCGCCACTCATTCACATTACTCACAGCATTTTAAAGCATTTAACTGCCAATGTGGAGGGCATCTCGATACTTTTTATAATCGACCATCCCATACGATAAGATCGATTATAGCGATAGAAGGTGGAGTAACAGTCAGAGATTGAACTTCATACGTTTATATGATGGAACAAGCCGGTTTTCTAATAACTCCCGATTTTTGGTAACTAAAGGATTTGAGACGTTTGGAACCCAACAAGTCTGTAGAAGCGAATGTGCTCTACTGATGTAAAGAAATGCAACAACTTTTCCAAAGTAATATTTTCGTTTTGAATCTACCCAAAATCCAAATTTTTGAGAAAAAAAAAACTAATTTTCCATGGTATAATAGTGTATTCCTCACAACGGTTTTCAGCCTCATCGTGGCTGGGTGTTCATAGGTGTCGGGCTGCGATGTACAGTAGGGGATTCATTCCCCTGGCAAGGTCTCCCCTGCTGAAGAGTCCGGCGTTTCCATCAGGAAACCTAGCTAAGAGTAAACCAACACCAGGATCCACCACCGTCCTAGTATCAAAGAAACATGGTGCAAATCTCCCTCTGATCTACAAGGTCTGCGACAGCTTGTGGTGGTAGAGACCTGGAGCAGACTTTGGCCAAGCTGACTTCGGGATTCCAGGGAGCCACAACGGCTTAACCAACAAATCTTCGAAAATGGAGATTATGCTGTGACCCACACAATCAGGAAGGACATTCAAGTATCAAGTAAGTAAGAATAGGCTATTTCTATCTTCTCGGTGAAGATCTCTAAATTGCCACATTTCTTTCTTTAGTTCGCTTAGTTTATCTTTTCAGTTTATTTGTTTTTCTAGCCGATTTAGTTTGGTTTTAGGTATTGAAAGATGCTACTGCTTTTGGATATACATTGATTGAAAACAGATCAATTACAATCGCAATGATGCTGAGATTTTAGTAAAACTCAGAACCTCGGCTAAGGTTCGAATCCACGTTTACATTTTCCGGAAGCTCATGTGTTATCCACTGCACCACCAAGGCCCTTGTTTTACTTTTCCCTTAGCCAGTTTTTTTTAACCTTAATACTGCTGTCAGTATAACTCCTTGCTATGAAAGAAAAACAGATAACACGTGAGCCCCCGGAAAGCATAATCGCGAATTCGAAGCTAAGTTGGTATTCCTAGTTTTGCTCATATCTCAGCATCATTGTAGCCATATTCCACATAATACCCTACCATGAAAAAAAAAACATACAGCAAATAAAAGTTTAAATACAGATTAAATAGTTGTGCCGAAAATCAGCCACCTCAATTAATGCGCGGGATTTCCCACCGTTTCCGTCGGAGAAATAAGAGCTATTGTTCCATGACATTCCAGAGGAATTCTAAGAGATCCCGCTAAGCGGTATATAAAATACTTTTTCCGGTTTCGACTGACTCTTCATCGAGAGTATCGAAAGTGACTTCGAGGAAATTCAAGAGTCTGAAAAAAGTGAATCGGAGAAAAAGACGAAGGTTTTACCGATGGCGATACCGGTGAGTGGTCTAACAATATTCTATCTCATGATCAGTTAAAAGAACGTGGCGCATCTATAGAACTTTGTATTTTAGTTTACTAATAACCTCACATTAGGTATTCACAAATCTTTATTACAGCTACGGTTTCGGCGGTTTCCTCTTCATCAGAATCAAGACGATTGCAGTCGGAAGTCCTAGCAGTTCCTCTTCTTACCGATCCTTGCCTCACATGTATCATCCGTTTCAGCAGTCCTACTGTTGATCACCGAGTGAATCAAACAGACCAAAGTAACGTCTTCACTTGTCCGCGCTGCGGGCAAATTAGTCTCATGGCTTCCGCTCGGTCAAGAGAGTCGCTGAACATCATATCACTCTTCTAGGTTTTCCATGAAGAAGTCTGACCACCGGGTCGGTGGTATTGCTGCTGCGTGCTTGACATGTTGAGAAATCCAGTGGCTGAAGGCCCTCGTTTATCCGTTGTCACTCAGACGAATCAAGTATCGTGCCCATTTATTTCCAACACAGTGGCGCACCAGATTTTTGGTCTAGGTCGAAAGTTCGGATTTTCTCTACCACTTGCGCAATATGGATACCCCCAGCATAATTCTCTCGAATACCCATTTACATTAAATGATTTATCGTCCTGCTTATGTAATGACCATGCTTCCGACAGGTACTATGAGGCACGCCCACCCTTAGAGTCGAAAGTATGGCACGGAGTGGAATTTTTCTCCTTCTCCTCGTTATATTCTCCTTGTTCTTCATGGTTCTCCAAGGTTCTTGATTACTTTTATTCAGTTCTGCAGCCAACCCATTCATCATGTTCACTCTTTACGTAGCTGGAGCATTCGGTGATATTTATTCCATTAATCGTGAATGCGCATCAGAAACACACCTAGTTAATATAGTTTTCGTGAGATTCAGTCGAAGGCTAATCGTTCCACAAACAAAGACAATCTAAGACAGGCGAAACGAAGGACCCGCATGGTGTGGTGGTCAACGCGTTACTCCCCGGAAAGGACAATAGCGCGTTCGTTCTCCACCACAGACACCTGCGGCCCGGAGTTTTGCAAATATCTCAGTAACGTTGTGGTTGTATTTTGCTTAGTACCCTGCTGTGAAAATTGTAGTGGGCAGAAAATAAAAGGTAAAGCAAAGACAATCTAGTTACCGAGCACCGATTTACATTTCTATGTTGTCCCACTCCAATTTTTGTCTGGTGTTTATAAACGTGGCTATAAAAAACTTTGGAAAGAAGATGTCGAACCACTCCCTTTACGTTGATGTTAACATTGTTATAAAATGGTGATACTCTGGTTGTGAAATTTTTATGTTGCTCACGAATGACATCTCGATGAGTTTCAAGATAATGCGGACGTGGTCTATCATGCAATCCTTTTCCAGACCTTGCTTGCTCATATGGAT